TTTTTCCTCCTTTCTCTCTCCCTCTTTTTTTTTTTTCCTTTCCTTTCCTTTTCTTTTCTTTTTCTTTTCTTTTCTGTTTTTTTTTTGTTGTTTGTTTTTTTTTGAATGGGAGCAATCCAAAAAAAAAAAGGAAGCAGAAGCAAAATAATCTGGTTAATCAGAGGGTGCCTGCTGCATTCCAGCACCCTGTTTTTCTTGGCCAAACCGTAGAATTTTGGTGCAAGGCAGACATCCACTCTGAAAACATATATATCTATATATCTATATATTCTGCAAAATGAAAGGGGCCACTTTTTCCAGGAAAAAAAAAATGCACACAGCACTAAAAACAAGCAGACTGCATAGGGAAGCAAATACATATATATATATTTATCTATATATATAGGTATAGCTATAGAACAAAAATATGGAAATAAATGCCCGCACGCCGAAAAACTGACCCTGAGGAGAAAGGGGGGAGGGACAGACGCCGGGGGGAGGGTGGGAGAAGGAGAGGTTGTTGGTCCCTAAAGTTCGAGCTCTGTAGAAGGACTTTGCACGAATTAAGGGAGCCAGCGAGAGAAAGGGAAATAATTTAGGGCTGTCAAAGTCCTGCTCCTGACGGCTGCCAATCATCGTGGAAGAGTCATTAAAAAAAAAAAAAATCCACTGCTAATATTTTTTTTATTAATATTTTTATTTTTTATTTCTGGACTGATTCAGATAAAGGGATTTAGAAGGACTGAGCATCTGCAGCTGCACTTATCTGAACTTCTCCTCTCCTAAATCCGTTGCCAACTTTGATTGAATGGGTGCTGTGGATGTGATTATATAATACTGCCATTTCCAAGCAGTGTTTTTGGTAGGTTTTAATAAACAGACTTTTCAAAAAGACGGCAATATAGAATTGTTAGATCCGTTGTTGATCTAAAAAAAATTTGCTTTATATTTTCATTAAATGACTTCTTTTAATATTTTATTCAGAATACCTATGAACTGCTGCAAAACGGTAATTTATTTTTTCCCCAGATCTTGTATTACGTGTTTTTTTCAGACGAGCACAAATCAAAATGAAATGAAAATATGGACAGTTGTTAGGTAATAAGGGTATCTTTTGATGTGATAATTTGATTGTAATTTAATTTGAGTAGTGATTCCGTAAGAGCTGATTGAGAAAATAAATTTGTTAGAATGAAATAGTCTGTGTCTGATGCGTAAACACTGTGTCGGAAAAAAAAAACTCAAAATGAAATGAAAATATGGACAGTTGTTAGGTAATAAGGGTATCTTTTGATGTGATAATTTGATTGTAATTTAATTTGAGTAGTGATTCCGTAAGAGCTGATTGAGAAAATAAATTTGTTAGAATGAAATAGTCTGTGTCTGATGCGTAAACACTGTGTCGGAAAAAAAAAAACAAAAAAAAAAAAACAAAAAAAAAAACCCAAAACCACAAACAAAAAAACCCAAAACCCGAGAGAAGTTGTAATGCATTCTTGTAAAAAGCCAGCAAGCCTCATTTGCAGTATCAAGAGAAAAAGAATAAAATAATTTTAAGTCAATCTTTATTAACAATTAATAGGTCATAGTATTTTTAAATGTTAACATCTCATTTGTTCCAAGTTAAATCACAAGTGTGCATCTGTAATAATCACACCTTATCAATCACTGACTCATTTAAGAAAGGTGACTGATTAAATTATTTTAACGGGATTATGTCAGCCCTCTTACTGTTACGCAAATGGAATCCTATTAAAAATCCTGTCTTTAGGACAACTTGGTTCAACATGTATTCTACTTAATTCCAGATTAGAAATTAGGTTTGCAATTTTAACAATTATAAAGCTAAGATCATGTTAAAAGTTATCATTTATGCTTTCCACAACTACTTTCTCTTCCTGGTGGGTTCACAAGGTGCTATGACAACACATTTTAAGTTAGTGGCTACAATTCCCAGCTAGAACATGGGACGCTGAGCTGGGAACAAAGACACACTCCTGAAATTATGTGCAGTTCCTTCAGAAACAAGACTTCTCATTTAAGCTAGATGAGAAAAAGCTCATGCTACTGTCACTTTAAAAAGTTTTAAATCTGAAAAATTTATGAACTATTCTCACACAGTTTGGTTTTGAGCTTTTAAGATTGAGGTTTTCAGGCTTTTTGTCAAATTAGGACAGTTAAACTTTCAGTATTTAAATTAAAACTAACACTTCAATATTACCACATAGACATTAAAATCAGAGTGGAGACACCACTTTGATTTATAAATCAACCAGCTGAAGAACCATTTTATTACTTTTGATACTTTGCTGACATGAATAGATGCACAGAAAACTGGATGACAGCCGATATTTAAGTCTGCCATAATTCATATGATATTTGCTTTGAATTAATAGGATGATTTTTTTTCCACTCTGTGTGCTATTTCAAGTTATGAAGTGCCATCATTCACTTCACAAAGACATTTATATGGTACCATAATCAACATGTATCTTAAGACTATGGGGAGGAACCCCCAAATAACAAAGCACCTCTACCCAGCAATGAAGAAAACCCCAGACATCTCTAGATGTTAGCAATTATATTTAAATACTACACACCAGAAAAAAAAAAACCCACCACTGTTTGGAACAACAACAAAAAAGTAATTGTAACAGATGAGCAAATAAAAGGCTTGGTTGCTTTAACACTATTTTTCAGTACTATGCAAATTTACTTCACAAAATGTATCGTTTCGACTAACACCACTGATGAGGGGGAAAAAAACAAAACTGAGAAGTAAAAGTGTGAAAACAAAGCTGACCTACCTAACAGCCTACAAGCACCTCCTTTCCATCAGATTTGGGCTTTCTGACCCAGTTACATGTTCTCCACTGAAAACAAAACTTTATAGCACCAATAATCTACAAAGATTTTCTTCTAATACTGAATGCTTTGATTAAAATACAGTTATTTTACATGAAAGCCAACTGTTGCAATTTTTGCCTGTGTAAGTCAATTCACAAAATTACAAAATTTTCAATTTAAATACATGCTAGCATGCAAAAAAGCTACCAAATTATCTGAAATGCAGAAATGCTAATTAGTTTTTCTAAATTATGTCTGAGTAACTCCAGAAGCATGCAAACTAGGCTTCTTAACGGACATTTAATTAGCAAGAGCTATCACTCACTGGATGTCCAGTAGGGCAAAACCAAGACTTTTACTATCTTGTGTGCTACCATAGAAATGAAAATTCACTGAATTGAAAAGGGAACATTCATAAAGAGAATTATTTGTTGCCATTGAAATCCCTTGTTAAAATCACGCAAAGGGCTGTGGTACACATACAGAATAGTCTTCACTATTGCTGTAAAGCTAGTCTAAGAAGAAAAAA